TGGTGATTTCTCAACTATCCTATTGTTTGGCTTTATGTCTTTGAAATAATATTATTTAATGTTTAATCCTGCAATTTATTTAGAATTTAGGACTTATGTTCGCACGATATCTGATCTTGCAAATAACCTAAAAAGATAGGAGGATTTACATTGTACCGTACAGTAACCTCAGAATCCTAAAGTGTTAGGACTTATAATTGTACATCAGGGTTATGCAAAAGCTTAAAAGTGATATGTGAGGGTTTACACTGCTCTAGGAAAACCACCTTGAAATCCTATGGGTTATTATTTGAACTAGGGAAAGTGATTAGTGATATAAATTTGTTTTGGTGTTGCAGATCCATCTTGAAGTGGTTCCTCCGTATGTCCTCGTCATGCTGTCATGCTGCCCACGATGTTCCCAAGCTCCCCTTCGTAGCACCTTCGGGTTTGATGTTACTTTTAAAGAGGTATATGTGATCATTAGGTTTTCCTACACTAAGGTATAGTGTGTAACAGAACAATAAAATATGTAGTATAAAAGAAAAGAACAATAGAATGTACAGTAAAGAAGAATAACAGTATAGTATGCTATATAAAAGAAAAAAATAGTAGAATGTACAGTAAAGAAGAAGAACAATATAGTATGCTGTGAAGTAATATGTTGTAATATAAATCAAATCTGTATGTCTAGGAGACCTGCTACTCCTTTAAGCGAGCTAGTATTTACTGCATAAATAAAAGAAATATTTCCTCAAAAACTCGAGAAAATCCACAAATAACCGACGACGGAAAACTCGGGAAAAAAACCGAGGGAAAAAACCCGACAAATGACAATTCCAAGAAAATTATCAAAATTTCGGGAAGATCCCGGAAAAAGGTCCGTGAGTGCTTTGCCCAAAAATTCCAATAAAACATATGAAAAAAATCCGAAAAGAGGGGACCGCAAGCACATGGGTTGGGGTAGGTCAAATATAATATATTTGTACTCGAGGGATGTCAAAGACTACTATCGGTCACCCAGATGTATAGAACTCGCCACTCAACTAGAAGGATACCCTACTGAACCCAGTACTGGTAATCAACAAGTGGACAATGAAATTGTAATATATTTAAAAATTTACATTTTAGCATGCACGTGGATTCCAGACATACAAAAAGAAGTTGTAGCAATTTTGTAGTAAAATTTTTTTTAAAAAATATTTTTATAAATATTGTATCTGTTCTTATCATGTTTTGTTCTTACCAGTTTTGAAAAAAATTACGATTGTTCGCGAGTTAATTACGTCGTCGGGCATAGGACCGCCAACAACCTAAGAGGGTACTGGTCCCCCGCTAGTATTGTGTAGGTGAATGATATTATCATCCTATAGTTTATCAGATCCCAAGATTGGGTCCTGATATCGTAGGATGAAATATCATTCTGCTCTATCCCCGACGTGTCTTTGTCATCATTGCCTTGAGCCCCAAAACAAAACTGATTTACTTGCGGCTTTGCTTGATGGTTTCATATATAGCAAAATGCTATATATAGACACTTATGTGTCAGACATAAGCACTGAAAACCGAACCAAGAAGTAAAGAAAAAAAAAAGAATGAAAATGGGGATGAGAGAGGAGGAACTGATCCACCTAAAAGATCAAAATGATGAAGGGTGGAGAAAACCTCAAAACTGTGACAAAAAGAGAGCCCAAGATCCTTCAATCAATCTAAGAAGAATATTATTTTCTAAAATTTTATAAATGGATCAACCCAAGAATGGTATCCCTTCTAAAATTTAGGTCGAAACTGGCTTAAAACTAATGTAACAATTGTATCCACGGTTCCAACATCTATATGTACTCACACACCACAGCCTGAACCGAAATGTGGCATTTATGTTATCCAAATTTTAATGTTGCATCTCCAAACACTTTTCCATGACAATTTTATAAGCTTTCAAATCCTTTATGAATTTGTTTCATATCAAATTTATGATTTCCCAAAATAAAGCTATAAAAGCCTTTCATATTTCACAAAATAAAGGAGAATAATCCATAGGTGGGGCAACCTTCTAGCATTCCAGAAAATCATGCCAAAATCAAAATCATTTAATTCCAACCTTCATTAAAAAAAAAACCTTTTCATATCATATAAAAATGAAATTATCCAGATAAAATCATATACATGCTCATAACCAGGGGCAACAGAGAGGGACAACCACCAGCCCAACTTATCTCATGAAGAGATCACAAGGTAAGACTCACGGGTAAGGGCATCAAGAGGAAGACCACAAGGGCAGTAAACACAAGGTATGGCTCACGGCCAAGGCAGCAGGAAGGAAACCACCACCATTTAAGCTCATGGGTAGGGACGACAAAAGGACAACCCACATCTCAAACTCGCGGGTAGGGGCAGCAAAAGAAAGACCGCCACAACATTATTATTATGCCCTTTTAATACACATATGAGAGTGAAAGGACAAGCTACCATAAACCATCCAGACCGAAGTCATTTTCATCAAGGAAGACATAGTAATGAATTGATCAGCTTATTTCAAACATCCCCATATAGAAGTAGATATTGAAATCATGAATTTTGGGATGACAAACTTGATTACCAATAAAAATCTCAGGAGGAATGTTATATGAGGAGCTTCCAACCAAACCAAGCCCAACAGGGGGCTAAATCGAGCCCACCAAAGGGGTTGAAACAGAAAGGAATTCCAGCCAAAACACAATCCCAAAAGGAGCCAAACCGAGCCCACCAAAGGGGCAAACCGAGTTCAATACAGGGGTAAACCGAGCCCAACACAGGAGTAAACCGAGCCCAACAAGAAAGGCATGACAAGGATCCAAAACAGACACATCTGAGCTCAACAAAGAGGCAAAACAAACTAACTGTAACAAGGAAACGTGAGCCAAGTAGAGGAGCAAGAACAAAAAGAATACCTCCAACTATAGCAGAATACCTCCAACTATAATTTAATTCCAAAAGAGCTAGAACTAAACCTAGACAAATGGGAGAACAAAAAAAATACTTCCGACATTTATTTATTCCAAAAGAACCAAAACCAAGTCCCAGCAGATGGTTTAAGACAGTTTCCAGCATGAATCCATTCCAAAAAGATCAAAACCGAACCCAACAAAATGGGAAAACAGAGAATAATTTCCAACATTTATTCATTCCAAAAGAACTAAAACCGAATCCCAGCAGATGGGTCAAGACAGTTTCCAACATGAATCAATTCCAAAAAGATCAAAACCGAACCCAACAAATGGGTTAAAACAGGGCTATCAAAATCAAGTCTCTTGAAGCCTTATATTTCAAAGTATTGCATCCAGTAGATGTTCCAAATAGTAACAAGTAACAGGAAATGAATAAGCATAAACGAATTCCTAATGTCAACATAATATCCAGTATTGAAACTAATTCTAATATCCACTTGGATAAATATATATAAAAGAAAAGCTCCAACCTTGCATTTTTCTTCCTAGCATGCATTTCATAGGATAACAAGTAAAACTTTTCAAAAAGAAATCTTATTCATCATGTATCTTGAGCAGAAAAAGAAAAGAAGATAGCTATATTATGCTACATTTTAATGTTTCCAGGGACTATTCATGCTTAAATTTCAAAACAAGCCCAAAACTTACTTCTACATGCTTTAGAAGAGAAAAGAAATTATTTTAGATGCTATTTGAAATGGTGTAGATTAGAGGAAAGAAGAGAAATACCTCTTAACGCAAACTCAAAGCAAAACTGTAAGACAGATTCAAGAAAAAACGTCCTATAGAAACCTTCCTCCTAAAAGCTTCGAGAAACAATAACCAACGAACACTTCAACGCACAAGAACCTAGCCGAGAAGGAATTTCGGCAGAGCCTTCCCCTAAGAGCCTTGAACAGCAACTAGCAAAACAATCTCAGCCTTCCTTTCCCTCTAAAAATTTTCAACAACCCAAAACAGTACTCTAGGAAGTTTTTTTATAGGCAGAGATGAGAGGGGGACAGTCACCTATCAACCTCACTGGTGGTCGAATCAAATAACGAGAGTGAATCGTTACCATGAAGGAGGAGAAAGTAAAGCCTCGAGAAGAAGAAAGGTTGGCCAGCCGAGCTCCCACAATTGGAGCGTTGAGAGGTAGAGCGGCCACGTGATAAAGGAGAAGAGTCGAGAGAGAGGGAGATCGCCGCTTGGATCGCTCGCGAGATCTAGGGTTCACACGAGAGGGGGGCGAGCCAAGCAGTTGGTCGAGCCATGGGATCAAATGGGGGCTAAATATGCGGGTAAAGGGATAAATAGGGTTTAGAATTATAAATATTATTATAATTAGTAATATAAATATAAAATATTTAATATTATAGAAATAAAATTTGATTCGTACCTTTTATTCGTGTGTCACAACATAAAAAAATAGATGATCTTTTTAGGTAATTCTGACATTCCGGACGCGTTGGCGCAATCCATTTTGTCGTCGGAGGTCGTCCGGAGAAGTTCGCATTTTCACCCATCCTTTAAATTCAATTTTAGTCCGTTCTTGTGCAACTTTGTAAATTTTGTGTATTTTGTGTATGTGTGTGTGATGATAAAGTCCCGAAGAGGTTTTCCTAGAGCTTGAGATTCTATTGGGAACTTCTCCCTGAGTCTCCACATGATAGTCCTTAACCACCTGACCATATGACGATGGTTTTGAGATCATCAATGTGGGACGTCACAAGAGAAATAGGAGGTGGCTGGAATTTTTAAGGGGATGAATTTCAATACTAGTTTTCTAAGATAGTCAATAGGAACCCCTAGAGCTAGATCCTAGGATTCTAAAGAAAAGAGTAATGACTTTAAAATGAGGTCAACAGTGGCTTTCTGTTTTCTTTCTTGTGAGCATTCCACTTTCCTTTCATTTGTTGTTGACCAGTAGATCCGACTTATGAAACTGCCATTATCTTCTATAGCATATCGTGTTCATGTGTAACACCACACGTGGTGACTTTGATGATGCAGAATAAAGTTAATATGTACTTATTTTTCGTACTAATTTTGCAGGTTTTAAAAAACAGTATGAAGTCTATTATCAATAATTTGCCAGATGCAATCTTGTCAAGAGAGGTGAATATCACTAATACATTCAAACCTTCAATAGACCATTTCATATTTTGGTTTATATTTTACTTTTATCCCTTTCCTTTCGATGGAATTCATCATGTAACTATATCAATTGGAAAATGTGCTCAACATTATTCTCCATTATATTTGAGAATATCTCTCCTTGCAGGCTAGAGGCTGTATTGCAATTCAAAGGCGTCAAAAGGACCATATATCAAATTTTGAGATGTACACTTTTACACTCATGTCTAGTTTTCCATTCCTATTTTATTATGTCCTTGATGGAAAAAAAATGAATAAAAAGGAAAAAAAAAATTCCTACTTTATTATGGATGCCTTGCAGCTATGAACAAGAAGTTACTATGTAAAGCCTTTGATATATTACTGTTGCTTGACTGCATGGTTGGCAGTCTTTTTATGATATAAGATGAACTAATCGAATCCTGCAATAGTTTTCAAATTAATTAATTTTTCAAATTTCTATCGATACTTTGTTCAAGTTAATGTTCATTCATGTACCATTGTGAGATATTTAGAAATCAAACTTTTGTTATAGGGATAGTGATGTGGAAAGAAATTTTAAATTTTAGATATTTCATAAATGTTTGAGTTATTATATGTTAGATTTGAGAATAGAGCTACTTGAAGGTCATCTTTATGTTTCGCGAGCCTTGTCTTTAGATAATCTGAAGAATGTGAGCTTCTGTTTGTAAAGCCAAATTTATGCATTCATTTCCTGATGTTTTAAAGTTCTTAGCGAATGGTGGACTTGGTCAAACACCACTTTTAATCCTTCAGTTCCTTCACTTATCCGCAAAACATTATTTTTTTTGTTGTTTCAATCTGCCTATTACTAACAACTTAAATTTCTTGCACTCATTCATAATCATTGTTGAAATCAGGCCTGCAAGTTCTTCGCTCAGTCATATGAGAAGGGATGCAGTTTTAAACGAGCCTCTAAAGGTCTTAAAACCAAAATTGACAAATCCTAGTAAATATGCGATTGTTAAGAAAGAAGCAATTCCAATGGCATTGAAGGTAACTCTCAGTTTTTGATAGCTTTTAGCGATAACACATTAATCCATTCTTTCCAATAATTTAACTTGCATGTTTACCATGAAATGTGGATTGTGAGAAGTTGCTTTTGCCGGCAATCCAACCTATAATTAGGACATACATTAATGAGAATTATGAACTTAGAATTATCTTCCGTACAAATCCTTTCAATTCTGTCCAAATGTCTTATACTGCAAATTACAGATATGAACTCATCTGTGATTTGCTCTGTTTTTCAAGTCTGAAAATAACTTGATGTTTGGAATACAGGAACAGATACTCATTGAATCAGACGATGAAAGTGACGGAAGTCTTTGTATCCTAGTTAAGAAAGAAACCGGCGTTCTTAGTAAGACTTATAATTCAGTTGACCTAAAGTACTTCATCCAAGAAACTTACTAATTTTTTATATGTGAGGGCATATTTGGATATTAATTCATTATATAAATTTATTTGGCTATCTATGCATCTTCTAGATATTTGCTAACAGGTGAGAAGATTATTGTAGACTTTCTGATTTAAGAAAAATGTTCCTATTGCTTTTAACCTGTGAATTAACAGAATCACGATGATCTGTTGAACTTTGTAATATTGTTGCTTTTTTGAGGACATGAAAACTTAGGGGCTATTTAGGATCACTTTTATTTCATTTTAACTTTCTATTTATTTATTTATTTTTTATGTTTTGGATTGAAACAAAACATGTTTGATATGTTCGGTCAATATTTTGTTGTTTTTTAAAACACTTAAAACATTTAAAAGTTATATTGAATGTTTAAAAAACATGTTAATTTATTTTTAGAAAAAAACATGTAAAAATGACACTCAACAAACATATCTAAAAAAATTGTAGTTACCGAAAAATTAAATAATAATAATAATAATAGTAATAACTGAAATAATAATAATAATAATAAAATAAAATTTTATTGCTTCAATGTCAATTGGAGCTTTAACCGTTGAGTGGTTTCTTTTCTAGGAGGCGTAGGTCTCATTCGAGATGAGAGTTGGGAGAGAGAATGAGAGAGAGTGAAGAGAGAAATAAGAGGAAGGAGGAGAAAAGTAGTCTGCAGGTCAAAGCAGTGAAGGAAAGGAGGAGAGTAGCTTCGAGCGTGGAGGAGAACTGACCGAGCCTTGAGGTGGAGAGCTAGCCCGACGAAGCCTAGTCGAACGACTCTATTAGAGATGTATATGTTAATTTATTGTCTTACCAGGTATATATATATATATGTGTGTGTGTGTGTGTGTGTGTGTGTGTGTGTGTGTGTGTGTCACATGAAAAATTGCTATGTCGTCGTCCCACCTTTGGCGGCGTCGATTGCGGCAGAGAAGAAGCGACCTACTGCGTCGTCCCGCAGCGCCGCTCGCCAGAGTTCGCGGGCCTCCACTGACGTTCGCTCGCTCGCTCGCCTGCCCTCGTCTCCTCTGAGATCGTCGTTCCTTCGCGCCCAGCAACGCAAGGCTTTCCTCCTTCGCGCTGCTTCACACCCTGCGAGGAAACCGCACCGTGCGCTGCTTGTGTTGATCGACGGTGTCTGCGTCTGTGTCGATCGATAGAAATGGCATCAAGGCGTTCCTACGCTGCCGCCCTCGCCAGTGATAACCCGTCTCCGCCCCTCTTTCTCCTCTTTCGAATATGTTTCTGCAACGATATCACGACAATTTTGCTCTTGGCATTGAAACCGAATTTCTCAAAAAAGTTTCCCGTAAAAACGACAAACCTGCAATATTTCTCACTTAGGCAGAGATCTCTACCCTAGCTGCGTCCTGCCGATTGTTCTTAGTAGGTAAGTTTTTTTATGGAAACCCTAAACTTGAACTAATTTGAAAGGACTTTGAGCAAATGAAACTGAAAGGGGGTTGGAAGATCGGTAAATTGGATGGTCGCCACATTCTTATTCAATTATCAAATGATGAAGACTGCACTCATTTGTTTGCAAGAAGACACTTCAATAGAAAACCAGGTGATGAAGGTTTTAAAATGGACGGTGGATTTTGACCCTTGTACTGAACCTCCTACCATTCCTGTTTGATTGCGCTTCCCAGGTTTGAAGATCCATTTTTTTGATCAAGAGCTTCTTTTCGCTTTAGCAATGGTATACGGTAAACCCCTCAAAACTGACACGCCTACAGTGAATCTAACTCGGCCTTCAGAAGCCAAAATTTTGATAGAAAGGGATATTACTTTACCTTTTTGGGGAGAAATATGGATTGACACACAATATCAGGGTTTTTGGCAACAAACAGAACTTGAACAAATACCACTTTATTGTACCCACTGTCGTATGCTTGGACATTTTCCTTCTCAATGTTATCAGTTGCATCCAAATTTAAAACCTTCAAGTAAAAATGCTTCTGGATCTGCCTCACCTCATACATGTCCCTCCTCCGCTCCTGAGTGCATTCCACAAACTATTGAATTATCGGTTGACACGATGCCACCTCCCCCTTCCACTACCGGAGACAATACTCTCTCTGTTCTTCCGACTGATATATTGGCAGATTGTTCACTTGTGTCCGATAATCAGGATAGTATTGAAGCTCCACATCCCTAGGATGCTTCAGGTGTTAAAAAGACATGCTTACCTTCTCTTCAGAATCAGAATGTTGTTACTGCTAGTCAGGAGCTGGGGGCTCATTCTCTCCTACATGCCCAACAATCTGTTGACCGCACTGATCATATGAGTCAGTCCTCGGATGAGGAATGACAGGTTTACACATCTAGAAAGAAAAAGAAGAATGGAGGCACACTCTAGCTTGGAAACTTAATGGATGATACTCTAGTAACTTCGGGTAATGGAACAACACTCAGCAATTTGTTTGCTGTCTAGAACCAGAAACAAAGGCAAGACCGAGCTGGCTCGTGCCTAGCAGCTTATTTCCTGCAAGTTTTGTTTTTTTTTATGTTTTATCTACTATGTTTCATCTTTTTAGGATGCTAGTGTCTGATGTATCGTATGGGTAGGGCACCTTTTTTGGGTCCTCTCATGCAACCTATATGTATTTTTCAATTTCAATAAAATTAGCCCTTGGGCATTTATAAAAAAAAAAAGGTTACTTCATCTATAAGATTTTAGTAAATGTGCATATATCAATTTATTTTATGACCTATAAATTATGTATATGTGCATTTTATTTGGAAAAAAATATAAGTTTTCTCATCAGATGTTTCATTAGATTGTATGATATGAAGAATGAAGTAGCGTATTTATGAATGTTTGTGTGTGCACGTTAAGATGAAGAGTCCACTCCCTTAAATTACATACAAGACAATAGTATATCCAGATGTGTAGATGTTATCCTACCTTTTCTGACAATTGTGATGCTTAGATCATTAGTCATTGTGCTGACGAGATAATATCAGTTATGGGCGAGTACACACATTTCCACCTCAGACAATCGTGTAATTAGATCATGAACTGCTTTGCTGATAAAATAATATTTGTTAGGGGTGGGTTTGATTATGTTTGAAGGTGCTCCTAAGATAAATGTGAAAGTTAAATGTATGAAATAAAAATAAAGTTAATGATTAAATCTTGAAGAGTATAGTTAAAGTTAATGCATATCAAAGTATACGTTTATTCCATCAAGTAAATGTCTTGAACAAATACATTAGATTATTATAAAATTTTTTATAATGAAATATGAAAGATCGACATGCATATTATTTTTCTTCATTGGATTATTATAATTTAAAAGTGTGATTGCTCCTGAGTTATTTTTAAATAACTCATTATATTATTTTAATATTTTTTCAGGTTTTAAACTTTGAATAAGATGAATAAAAGATGAATTAATGTGTAAAGAAGGCGAGAACAAAAACTGAAAGGGTAAAACTTCTACTTGTTGACTAAATTGTTTCCTTTGGCGGTTCTTTTATGAATATTTAAATATTTTACTATCAGTTATAGAAATAGAATATCATAGAATTTAATTCTGCTGTTCAACTGTCTATTCCTGTCTTGGTTTAAGTCTAAGACCCAGGCCGAGTCATTACAAAAGTGGTGTCAGAGCAATATCTAGATTAAACAACATGAATCTTAATGATAGAGTCATTATAATGATTAAATTAATTTATAAATAATGATAATAATAATTAATTAAAAGTTTAACTGTCTAATTAAATTATTTTGTGGTTATTTCAGAATTATGGATGATCAAGAGGAAGAGGTCAAAGATGTTAATGTTGAATTTGATTTACCTTCGCTTTTCCTGAAATGATGACTGCAATGACTCAGATGATTAAGAACTCTCAAGCTCAGATCGTTTCTAGTGGGGGAGGCCGGATGGATAAGTATTTAAAACTATTTTGAGATATGAGGACCTCTTTTTTCTGAAGAAGGAAGTATAGTGGATGTTGAGAGTTTAAAAGATTTTAAACGTGTTGTCTTATCCACCAGAGAGAAGAGTTGCACTGACCACTTTTGCCTTTGAGGGAAAAGCTAAGAGATGATTACGAGGACAAATGTGAGAAAAGTTTAGTGGTAGAACCAGCCACTTGGTGTAGTATGATGAGTTTGTGACAACCTTTAGAGATTGATTCGTAAAACTATCAGCCAAGAGATAGATGCATAATAAATTATCAGACTGATTTAGGGAAATCTGTCAATTTGGCAATATGAATTTGAATTCACTATGCTTTGAAGGTATGCACCCCGGTTGGTTCCAAATACTGAGGAGAAAAGCCATAGATTTTTGTCTGGGTTGAAGGATTTCATTGGGCAGCCACTAGTGCCAATTGAGATTGAAGACTATTTAGTGCTAGTGCAGAGGGATAAGTGGGTGGAGATTGATTTTTAGCAGACTTAGAAGCGTAAAGACATACAAGAGGAAGAGTTTAGAAGTAGCACCAATAGGTCATGCTGGAGTTTATGAGAATAAGATAACGTCCTACACTGGTGATGTTATTAGCCAGACTTGCAGCAGCAATGTAGAGCCCTATATTAAGTCTGAGAAATAACATCGTGTGAATGTTTATTTGGTTTGAAGGTGTGTTACTTATGCAGATAACCTGATAATCAGATGAGGAATCGCCCTAGTTTTGCTCAGAGATTCACATTCAATGCTAACACAGGATAAGAATTAGCTCAGAAGATTTTTCAGGAACGATCTACTTTTATATGTGGTAAGTGGAGGATGACAAAAGCTGGTACTATCACTCGTAAGGAGCAATCAAGGCAGAACACTCGATCAAGAGTCTATTTCTTAACTCACCATGAACTTGCAGAACATGTTGCCACTGATGCTGATACATAGAGTTTGACTGAGTGTTTTGTCATTTAGGTTTCATGTTGGTTGTCTGGTATTGAGTATCTTTATGTACTTTTATTTCAGAAGTTGAGTGTTGTG